TTAGCGGTTAAGTGCGTGCGCTCCTGCTACTGGCGGCCTGGGTTCGGATCCCGGGCACGCACCGATGCACCGCTTGTCCGGTCTTGCTGAAGCCGCGTCCCACATACAGCAACTAGAAGAATGTGCAACTATGACATACAACTATCTTCTGGGGCTTTGGGGAGAAAAAGGGGGAAAAAAAAAAAGGAGGGTTGACAATAGATGTTAGCTTAGGGCCAGTCTTCCTCAGCAAAAAGAGGAGGATTGGTATGGATGTTAGCTCAGGGCTGATCTTCCTCACAAAAAAAAAAAAAAGAAAAGAAAAAAAACCCTTTGAGGTACTTGTAAGTCCTTCAAAGCAGATCTGTGGCCTCTCCAGGCTCAGATGCCGTGATGGTACCAGAGAGTGAAATAGCAGATGTTTGCATGAGGTTAGTTTCTGCACCATAGAGGCTTCCAGGGAGAGGGAACTTCAGGCTCTGTCCCTGATTGATTGAACCTCCAGTCTCTGGAGGCTGGGTCTTGGGCATCAGAGTGCTCTTAATACCTCCTAGATGATACTAACATGCCATCAGGGCAAAGACAGCTGATTAAGAGAGGACTTAAGGTCTATGTATGGTTATATGGTTATCTTCTTTTTTTTCTCATGAATCAGTGATGGTGGAATTGGGCAAGACACATTTCAAATATGTGGGGAGACATGGTGGAGGAATTGTGCCCACTGGGGAAGTTTTAGCATCTAGTTATGTAGCAAGTTCCCCTAAGAAGCAAGGGGTGGGGCTCAAATGTCAGGTGCTTTTAAGGAGACTGAGTACCAAATACTCCCTGAAGAAACACCTGCCTCAAAGACTGAGACTTGGGTAGAACCTTGAGTCATGGGGCGTTGTGGTATTATATTGGGCTCTTTTAAAAATCCCTGTAGTTTCCCAGTTGAGAAGAATTCTTGTGAAGGAATAAAGACTATATTCTCAGTTCGTTTGTGGAAAGAATCTTCAGCAGCTCATTGGTGTGACAAATGAAGGGTTTATGTGAGCAATTTTTGACCTTGTTCCTGCTATCCAGAAAGTTTTAATTTGGTTAGTTTTCAAGTTCAGTAATGAGTATTTTTGCAGTTGTTTTATTTCTTGCTGATTGAGGGTTAGGATCAGGAATGGCTAGATGAGTGGGAAAGTGTGGGCCATGAACTTACATTGCTCATTAATGAGCCTGTTCGCTTGACTGGATTATTAAATACTCTTAGCAGAAAAATCCAGACACTTAGGCAGTAGTGACCTGCCTTCATTTTGTACTCTTTTTTGCTGGATTTGTTGCATCTATCAGTATTCTTTTTGATGGGTGACATCCCTCTTACTTTCTCTTATAATTACACCCATGTTAGGCTCAAATGGAGAGCTGAGTAACAGGCAGCAGTGATTTGCAGAGACAATCATAAGTTTTAGGAAAGTTTGGGAGGGCAGGTGTTACCGCTGGGCTTCTAGTGGATAGCCCCAGGTTTGTATGCTGCTGCCTGGGCTGCCCTTGGCCACACCTGGGCTGGGACTGTGCATATGTCCAGTCTGATGTTCTTGCTTCTCTGTGTAAGCCTCCAGATTTCCATCGCGGTAAACTCTCAACAGTCTGTTTTACGACCTAGTTTATTAGGGACTCTTCCATAGACTCTTTTTTTTTTTAAAGATTTTATTTATTTATTTTTTATCCCCAAAGCCCCAGTAAATAGTTGTATGTCATAGCTGCACATCCTTCTAGTTGCTGTATGTGGGACGTGGCCTCAGCATGGCTGGAGAAGCGGCTCGTTGGTGCGCGCCTGGGATCCGAACCCGGGCCGCCAGCAGTGGAGCTTGCGTACTTAACCACTAAGCCATGGGGCCAGCCCCTCCCTCCATAGACTCTTAATGCCTCTTGGCATGAATGATTGGAGTAGGCTGGAAATGGAACAGTGGGCCTTTGTGTTCTTGATCTGATCATCTTACGCTGATGTGATCATCTTACTCATAAGTCTTCAATTAAACAGTGTTCCCTTACCTCTGTATAGTAGATGAAAACTTCCATGACCTCGTGGAAGGCGAGGCAGTTCGTGAAGCCTGTGAAAGAAAATGCATGTTAGTTTTGTTTCGTGTTTGGTGTTTTGGATTCTCCCTCCCTTTTGTGCATGGGTTCCTCACTTCAGACAGACAGACAGAAGAGAGCTATCAAAAGCAAATTTGTCAGTTGTTTACCAGTTCTTTATTAACATGGAGGGATTGCTTAAAAGGAAATGCTTGTTTCAAAGTCCAGTCCTTGAAAGATTTCCTAACTTTTGGCATTTTGTCTTTTGAGAAGTCTGTGGAGGAAATGATGTCGAGGACCTATGTGTTTACTTTCGGTGACTTGGATTTGTGTTGAGTGTTTGGTTTTCTTTGATGGAAGAGGAGGGTACCTTATAAGGTATTACTACAGGGAGGAAGTAGGTTGTGGGGTGGAGTGGCCATTTGGCAAGGAGGGGCAAGTTTTACTGTTTCTTGGCCTTTAGTCTTGGGAAAGAAAATTGCTTTCCTTAAGTTTTATTCAGGAGGTAAGCTCCAGTGCCTCCCAATTCATTGGTTTAGGATTTTAAGTTTTGCCTCAGGGAATAGATGATTGTTAGTATTTCTTCAAAACTGTGACCTGCAGTGTATGGCTGATGGAGAACCACTGATGACATTATTTTTTAGCTTGGCTTCTGCTATTTAATTTTTGACTCCAAGGAGGCAGTACTTCTGGGCATATCCCAGCTTCTAGGAGGTAGAGACATACTGAAGCAACGCCCCCCGGGGCCAAGATCCTGGGAACCTCCCAAGCCTGGTTTCTTTTTAATACTCCTGCAGATGCTGGACTCCGTTCTCCAACACCTGGAGTTTGAGTTGGGAAAGATTGGAGGGCTCTCTCTTCTGATCTGTGTTTGTGCCAATATCTCAGTTCATAAAGGCTATTAAAGTAGAAGGAGATGGCAAGAGCTTGCCTCCTGTAAATGATCCATCTTGACTTAGGGCTGGGACATTGAGAGTACCAGAGGAAGTGGGCAGGCTGCGAGCTGGGCTGTCCATATGTAAGCAAATTCCTTACCCTTCTTTTTTTTTTTTTTTTACCTCAGTTTCGATGAGAACGACGGTAGTGAGTTCTCACTCATTTTGTTCAGATTTTCCAAGGATCCTTACCCTTCTTTTGCCACTTTTTCCTTATTCATCTTAGGCCAAGACTTATTTTGTGTTTTGCCAGATGTGTTTTAAAGCCCTGATTGTCATATTTGCTGAGCATTCACAGTGTACCAATCACAATATACTTAAAACTTTATTGTTTTTGCACTTATAATTTTGGCTTAAGGTTAAACCTATTATCTGCTTGTCTTAAAGAAGAAAGTAGTTGTATTTTTTGTTTAGATTGGTGGTGAATATAGCACTTTGTCAAAATGCCTTATTAACATGCTAATAATAAAAGTAAAGCTAATAACAATTATTATTGTGTTAAAATTATCTCAAAATAGATTAAAGACTTGAATGTAAGACCTGAAACCATAAAACTTCTAGAAGAAAACACAGGCCGTACTCTCTTTGACATTGGTCTTAGCAGTATCTTTTCGAATACCATGTCTACTCAGGCAAGGGAAAAAAACAAACAAAATAATCAAATGGGATTACATCAGACTAAAAAGCTTCTTCAAGGCAAAGGAAACCATGAACAAAATGAAAAGACAACCTACCGGCTGGGAGAAAATATTTGCAAATCGTATATCCGACAAGGGGGTTAATCTCCAAAATATATAAAGAACTCATACAACTCAACAACAACAAAAAAACCAAACAACCCTATTAAAAAATGGGCAGAGGACCTTGAACAGACATTTTTCCATAGAAGATATACAGATGACCAACAGACACATGAAAAAATATTCAGCATCACTAATCGTTAGGGAAATGCAAATCAAAGCTACAGTGAGATATCACCTTACACCTGTCCGAATGGCTATAATTAACAAGACAAGAAATAACAAATGTTGGAGAGGATGTGGAGAAAAGGGAACCCTCACGCACTGTTGGTGAGGATGCTAACTGGTACAGCCACTATGGAAAACAGTATGGAGATTTTTCAAAAAATTAAAATTAGAAATACCATATGACCCAGCTATTCCACTACTGGGTATTTATCCAAAGAACATGAAATAAACAATTTAAACAGATTTATGCATCCCTATGTTCATTGCAGCATTAGGCACAATAGCCAAGACGTGGAAGCAACCCAAGTAGCCATCAACTGATGAATGGATAAAGAAGATGTGGTATAAATATACACAAGGGAATACTTCTCAGCCATAGAAAAGACTAAATTGTGCCTTTTGCAACAATATGGATCGACCTTGAGGGTATTAAGTGAAATAAACCAGACAGAGAAAGACAAACACTGTATGATTTCACTCATCTATGGAAAATAAACAAACACATGGATAAGGAGAACAGATTAGTGGTTACCAGAGGGGTTGGGGGTAGTGCGGGAAGGCAAAAGGGATAAAGGGACATATATGTATGGTGACGGATAAAAACTAGACTACTGGTGGTGGGGCATGATGCAGTCTATACAGAAACTGATGTATAATAATGTACACCTGAAGTCACACAATGTCGTAAATGAGTATGACCTCAATAAAATAATTAAATTTAAAAAAAAGGTAAAGTTTGTGTTGAGAAACTGGTATGGTTTGTATTTCTTTTTTTTTGCTGGGCAAGATTTGTGCCCTGAGCTAACATCTGTTGCCAATCTTTGTCTTTTTTTTTTTCTTCTTCTTCTCAAAGTCCCAGTACATAGTTGTGTATTCTGTTTATAAGTCCTTCTAGTTCTTCTATGTGAGCCACCACCACAACATGGCTACGGACAGATGGGTGGTGGGGTTTTGCGACCGGGAACAGAACCCCGGGCCGCCAAAGTGGTGAGTGCGCCAAACTTGAACCACTAGGCCATCAGGGCTGGCTCTGGCTTGTATTTCTAATGTAGTCTTTTTCCTTTCCTTTTAGGAAGTCGTCAAAGTAATCCAGCCCATATTTTTGGGGAAAATTATTGATTATTTTGAAGGCTATAATCCCACTGATTCTGTGGCTTTGCATGAAGTGTACGCCTATGCGGTGGTGCTGACTGCCTGCACGCTCATCTTGGCCCTACTGCACCACTTATATTTTTATCACGTTCAGTGTGCTGGGATGAGGCTAAGAGTAGCCATGTGCCATATGATTTATCGGAAGGTAGGTGTCATTTGGTATCAAAATGTGTATCTCACCCAAAGCATCAGAAGCATTTTGGGAAAGTTCTATGTGACTTAAAAATTTTGTAAATAGAATCATTTAAACTTTACCAGAGAAGCTTGCTATTTGTATCAGACTAATTTTTCTTTTTAAGCAGACTTTACCTATATATATATATATATATATGAAAGTTTTCTGCTGAGATCACATCAGGTTGCCTTTGATAACATTTGGCTACAGCCTGTTGCAAAATACTAAATTTGTAAAAATCTAGTTAAAAAATAAGTATCAAATTGATTTTCAAGGTTTCATGCCTAAATCTCATTTGTATTTATGGAAATTTTTTGGTGGTTGGTCAGTAAAACCTTCATTTATATTAAAGGTGTATTTATGAGTGACCTTCACTGAAATCGGATCTATAAAATTAAATCTAGGAGAAAAAATTGTATTTGAGAAAGGGAATGATTATATTTTTTAAATGAACTGTTTAATCATGTTCAATATAACTTTGTTAACGAAAGAAAAATATAAATGGAATTTGTGCCCAATACAGACTCACTCACTGTATTCCATAGTGAAGGTTGTTTTTAATGATATTAAAGAAAATAGTTGGATGTTTGGGATAAGACTTTAAATTTCACATTGTTTTTAGTAATTTGGAGAGAACTTATGGTTTCGTCTATTTTATGTTGCTGTTCATTCGAGTTATTTTTTTATATAATATTTTCTTTCCCTTTATTGTGCCTTATAGCAGTTTTAAGGATAAGACCTGATTTGGATGTGTTCAGTTTTTTTGTATTGAGAAATGCCATAAAATTATCCCGTAGTTTACCCTCGTCTTAACTAACGTAGAAAGAGTAAGGATTTCAGGGGTCTTCACAAAGGAGTTGCCACAGATACATCAGTGTCATTAGCTGAAGGGCTCGTTATGAGCTTCATCCTGGATATCTCTTTACCTGGGCTGTGTGCCTTAAAAAAAAAAAACAAAAATCTCGTTTAACTGTATTGTTTACTTGAAATTTGCTGAGAGAGTAGATCTTGAGTGTTCTCACCAAAAACACACACAAAAGGTGATGGATATGTTAATTAGCTTGACTATAGTAATCATTTCCCAATGTATATCAAAACATCACGCTGTACACCTTAAATAATATACAATTTTTATTAAAGAAATAAATAAAATCATCGTTGAAAGATAAAGCCAAGCAATTGAAATTTAAAGTATTGCTTCTTTTATCTAGTTGTTGCTTATCTAGAGCTTCTGTTTCTGGTGAATACTTTTCTCAGCAAAATGCAAGATGTCCCCCCGACATCTTTCTTTGAGCAGAGTCTTATTAATCTCGGAATTTTGTGAGTCCTGGAGGTCTGGCGCCTTGTCTATGGTAGGCTACAGCGTGTAAGCCCGATTTCCTCTTTTGTGACATGGAAATGTAGCAGTGCCTATACACTTTTGTCAGGGGGTCTTGGCTCTCATCGAGGGGTCTTCATTGTCATCATCATCATCATCATCTTTGTTATTCTGTTGCTCTCCATTCTACCTTTTAGGAGAAGAGTATTCAGATTTCTCTACAAATTAGCTAGATTTCTCTCTTTCCAGATCATACTTAGCTCCCGTAAATAAATAGGGAATTTCACTCCATCTCCACTGTGAAAACCTTAAACACTGAAGTCAGGTCTGAGGTGACGATGGTTCAATCATACAAAGCTCTTTGCTGCTCATGTGAGTTGTTGTCCACCTGTTTTTCTCCCCTTCCCCACTAACTCTTTGAACCATTGCCCTTGGGGAATCCTCTCTGACTTGGCACATTTTCTTACCTGAATGTAAACAACTCCCAAAGGTGTTAATTTGCCAGCTTGGTTAGCCTAAAAGGATTGTCGCTTTATGAAGTCGAGAATTGCTTGGGTCAAACCATAGACATAACCTGAAATTCCAGGAACGTGGGAAAGACAGATTTCCTCCTGTGCTGCCTTGTATCTAGAATTTTGCTGAGGTGGAGAGTTAAGACAGTCCTTCACAGTGGGCTGATTCCTTAGGGCAAGAGCCGGCCTGCAGTGCAGCTTGGAAAGGCCCCGCCATGAACGTTTGTGGTTTGTGCTCAGGCCCCACCTCCCAATCCCTGGTCCTGGGAGAAAATCAGGTTGGGTGTTATAAGTAGAATGGCTGCTAAGCTCAGAGTCGTAGTTTGTGTTATTGAATGACCTTGTGGGATGTGTCATATAAAAAAATGACTTCTCATTTGTTTACCTTTGCACAGCTTTGGTAATAGTACTTTTGGCTATTGATCATTGATTTTTTTTTTTTATTGTGGTAAAATATGCATAACATAAAACTTACCGTTTTAACTCTAAGTGTACTGTTCAGTGGCATTAAGTACATTCACGTTGTTGTGCAGCCATCACCACTATTCATTGCCAGGATTTTTCATCTTCCCAAACTGAACCTCTGTGCCCATTAAACAGTAACTCCCCAGTCCCTTCTGCCCACAGCCACCACAATTCTACTTTCTGTCTCTATGAATTTGACTACTCCAGGTACCTCATATAAGTGGAATCCTATAATATTTGCCATTTTGTGTCTGGCTTATGTCATGTAGCATAATGTCTTCAGGGTTCATCCGTGTTATAGCATGTGTCAGAACTTAATTCCTTTTTAAGGCTGAATAATATTCCCTTGTAGGCTATATATACAACGTTTTGTGTGTCTCTTCGTCTGTCAATGGGCATTTGGGTTGTTTCCGTCTTTTGACTATTGTGAATAATGCTACTGTGAACCTGGGTGTACAAATACCTGTTCGAGTCTGTGCTTTCGGTTCTTGTGAGTACATCCCCAGAAGTGGAATTGGTGAACCCTGTGGTATTTTTATGTTTAATTTTATGAGGAACTGCCATACTCTCTTCCACAGCAGCTATGTAATTTTACATTCCCACTTGATCATTGATTTTTCTGTTTAACTTGAGGACTCAATGAAGAGAAATTTTTATGAACTATGACATTTTTTTGGATCAGCGGCTGCAGTTGGCAGTCTGTTGAAACAGCTCGTGGTGGTCTGTTCAGGTTCCTCAAATCTCTAGGGCATTTTTCAGAACATTTTACCAAATAAAGGGATTGTGCAGCACAGGCTACGCTTTTTGTAAAGTCAACAGATTGGCATTAAGAAAGAACCCAGGTTCCTCACAGCAACAGCGTTTTGAACATTATACTTTCTCGTTTTAGAAGGTCACTGCTAGTCACTGGTCATATTCCCGGCATGGGTTGCTATCACCTCTACAATGGGACCAGTGGCTTACTTTCTTTCTTGTTCTTGGCCGGGACACAGAAGAGGGAGGATATGTCCAGCTTCAAACCTCGAGGGTTAACTTCCCCAGCTTTAGAGCACAGGAAGTGGAGCCGGGCTGGGGAAGATGGTAGCTTCAGGCAAGGTGAGCCTGGATTGAAGATGGCTGACCATCTCCAGCCCCAGTCACTAGTGGGAATGCATCTCCCATTGGCCAGCTCTGACCACGGGTTCAGGCCTGGGTAGAAGTGAGCCTGAATGTTACGGGTCTCTAGACCGGGGGCAGGCAGGATGACTTGTAATCAGTCTCAGTAATCAGAATGGTCGTGTTGTATGGCACAGAGATTTTTTGTATCATAAAATGCATGTGGCATAGAGATTTTTCTTTAAGATCTTTAGCCTAATGGGCTCTGGGTTTCCTGACTTTGTGTCCACTTTGAAGAACTGTGGCAGTTCCCGTAGTGGATCCTGATGATGGGCTGACTTGCTCTGAAGGCAGGTAAAGCCAGAGGAGTTAGTCATTGAGATCACTAACCCTATTCTCTGCCGCTTGTTACCTGATGTGGACTTCCGTGCAGAATCGGGTCAGTTTGGCCAGACTTCTTATTCTGGCTAAAATCGTCGACTCCGCTCTCTCTAGAGTTAACTCAAAGGATAGTTTGTGAGAGAACATTTGTCCTTCTTTGTTTCAACTTGTAAGATGAGTTGACTGCATGTGAACATCCTAGTTTCCCTTGATCCTTTACTGTAGATTTATCTTACAAGAATTTACATACTATCGATCCTCATTGTTCACAGATTCTGTATTTGCGAATTTGCCTACTTGCTAAAATTTGTTTGGAACTCCCCAATCAATACTCGGCTCTTTCGTTGTTGGTCATTTGTGTGTGTGCACAGAGTCCTAAAATTTTGAGTCACCTGACCCATACCCAGCTGGGGTCAAACAAGATGACACTCTGTCTTCTTGTTTCAGCTCTCATATTATGAACAAGTGTCCTTTCCACAGTCTGTTTAGTGCCTGGTTTTCCACATTTTTGTGCTTTTTTTTTTTTTTTGGTGATTTTGCTGTTTAAAACGGCCCCCAAGCGGAGTGCTGGAGTGCTGTCTAGTGTTTCTAAGCACAGGAAGACTGTGATGTGCTGTATGGAGAAATGCGTGTGTTAGGTGAGCTTTTTTCAGGCGTGAGTTATAGTGCTGTTGGCCATGAGTCCAATGTTAATGAATCAACAATAGATATTAAATAAGATGTCTTTAAGTAGGAACACACATAGAGCAAGGTTATGTATATATTGATCAGTTGATGAAAATATTGTTACCAAAGGCTGGCAGAAACCCAACTCTGTATTTCCCCTAGGAGCACTCAGTAGTCACTAATTCATGTTCAAAGTGACTTTATAGAACATAACTACTGCGAATAATGAGAATCGACTATTGATATTTATGCAGTACATCTTAGAGGGATGACTTCTGTAGATCAATATCCTGTTTAGAGAAGTATTTTTACTTACGTGCATTTTTAAGCATTTAAGTAGTAGAACTAGTAGTAGTTCTATTTTTAGAATTCTGTGATTTGGGGGGAAAACGTACCCTCCTTGTATCCACACTATTTAGATTTCGTAGATTTAGGTACTCTTCATCTCTCTGAGTGAAGGACTCCTCCCCTCTCCTTTAATCCTTTCTCTGAAGACCCCTTTTCTCTTGACTATTTTACTTCTCCTTTCCAGA